ATATTAATTTATGTTCAATTTTTTTATTATTATATTACCATAATATATGTTCGTTTATGTTCATATATGTTCAATTGTGTTTGTTTATCTTTGTTCGTTTAGTATGTTTACGGACATAAACGACGAACATGAACATTTAATTTGTTAAACAAACGAACACGAAAAAAATCCCGTTTTTTTATTCGTTCGTGCTTATTTGTTTGTTCGGCTAACATAAACGAACGAACACGAACAATCCCTAGTTCGTGTTCATTTGGTTTGTTTACAACCCTACTTATATGTTAATGTTTGTTCGTTTATTTAGTTTTATTCAGTTTTATGGTTTTATGTGATTTTCGTTTACATCATTCGTTTATATGTTATTGCTTCTTCATTATTGCCTAAATAATTATATTTTTTCGTATAACTATTTCATTAAAAAAAAACAAAGTAAACCTATATATATATATATATATATATATATATATATATATATATATATATATATAGTAGTAGCGTACCCACGCGATGCGGCGGCGCCAGATATTCTTTTCGGCATATAGTTTTCATTCGTCTATTAGTTTTTTTTTTTACGTTAGATAGTTCATTTCAGCATTTTGGCTGATTGTTTTGTGTTAGATAGTTTCTTTCGAAAAATAGTTTCTAGATAGGTACAAAGATCCAGAGATGGAATAGTTTCATATCTGGTGTCAATTTATTACTCTGCATTTTATATCGAAAAATGATATGTTTTGTATAGACTACAAGCACCGTATGGTGCTAATCATTTGAAATCAATTTACATACTAAGTTAGGCGAGCTACAAAAGCATGGAAAACTTTTGGTTTTTATGTGTCATCCATATTGTACTTCATCTGAATCGTAAACATTGCATAAATATTACTTTTTTTTACCATAGAAAACTGAAAACTCATTTATTATATATATTTTTGAAATTCCTTTTATTATATATTATTTGAATTTGCTAAAAATACTTTCGGCAATAGTTTTTTTTTTTTCATTTAACCATTCCTGGACATGATTTAAAACAACTATACATTTGAAAGAAATAAATCATACAAATTATAAAACAACCATCATACTCTAATTGTAACTTCTATTAAATTTTATTTTTTTCGTTCTTTTGAATATTTTATTTTTTTGAAACGGTATGTGATAGTACTTGTTATAATCATGTTGCATCAAACAATTAATAATATTGACGTATTTAAGACATAATTTAACATATATTAAGTTTTCATAAATGTGATAACATATAATCCTCATTTATCATCAGTCGGTTTTGCTTTAATTTAAATTTGGATAATAATTCAGAATAAACATATAAACTTCCAGTTGAGAAATTTTTAAATCCAATTTTTTTTTTCAAATTACCCATAATCTATAAAGAATAAATGATTAAAGAGGAGTATGAGTAAAAATGAAAAATAAAAATTGTATTTGAGTGATTGATGTTGTAATGATAACAATATAGACCCATAGAAAGACAGAGCTACGACTTTAATTGTTTGAATAGAATAGAAAACAATGGTGTCTTCAACCATTTTATTATATTTCATATATGATGATTCCTTTTATGAATATATTACCACGTGTCTCTTAAATTTCATTAATAAAATAAATCTCAAAATGCCAAACACAACAAAAATCAAATTTTTATCGTTGTCTCATTTATCTTCACGATCACGAACAAATTATTCAACTCACAGATAATATTTCTAGCTCTAAAATCAAGTAAACTATATATGTTAATTAAGGTCAAAATAAATGTAATCAAAACTACAAACTTTCATCAAACAAAAAAAATAAACTATTTCTAGTATACATACACTACACTTGAAAATATTGTAAGAGGTTATGCTTTGTATTTGTATACCTGAAATACGAAAATCAAGAAGTAGAGGTTATTACATTTCTACATCACAAAAACGAAATTCTAAACATATATGATCTCATATATTGCTGATTTAAAATACGAAAATCAAACAAATCAGATCACACATTTTCGGATCCGAAAAACAAAATTCAAAAACTACAAAGTCTATTAGAGGAGATATTGTAAATTAAAATAATAGAAGGGTTGTATTGTAAATATGTAATTAGTCAATTAGTTAGTTAGTTGGTTAGATACTCTTTGAGCTGTTGATGTATAAGTCTCGATTGTATCATTTTTTTTTAGTTAATGGAAACTTCATCATTTTCCAATCTGTATTATGGTATCAGAGCAAAAATGCTTCGCTTCTATGATTCAATCTTCAATTGAATTGTTATTTTACTCTGTTCTTTGATCGTTTATTACAGATTGTACGTTTCTTTGATTTGAATTCACAAATTGTTCTTGTGATTTCGTTTTCTTTTTGTTATTCAAATCTACAAATTGTTCTTGTAGATTTTTTTGATCAATTTCTTCATAAATTGATCATGTCGAATGGTTCATCATCTTCTTCTACAACTGTTTCTCCAATTGATGATCGAATGTCACCGTACTACATTCATCATTCAGATAATCCTGGATTCGTTTTAGTTTCTCAACCATTGACTGGTGAGAACTATCCTTCCTGGAGTCGATCAATGTTGATTGCTCTTTCAGTCAAAAATAAAGCTGGATTCGTTGATGGAACTATTCCTGAACCTCCTATAACTGAAATAGTTAATCACAATTCATGGATGCGTAATAACAAACTCGTTATCTCATGGATTTTGAATTCTGTTTCAAAAGAAATCTCAACTAGTATCATGTTCACTAATCAGCGAAGGATATTTGGCAAGATCTTCAAGATCGTTATCAACAGAGCAACGGACCTCGCATTTTTCAAATTCGTAGAGAAATTGTTAATCTGAATCAAAATCAAGATTCTGTTGGAGTTTATTTCACGAAATTGAAGTCTCTTTCTGAAGAACTTGAGAATTTTCGTCCACGCTATTCATGTGGCAAATGCGAATGTCATGGAGTTGAGAAAATTGAGAAATATTTTCAATCGGAGCAGATCATGAATTTTCGAATGGGGCTAAATGAATCATTCTCACATACTCGAGGTCAAATCTTACTCATGGATCCAATGCCAAATCTTACTCGAGGTCAAATCTTACTCATGGATCCACGCTAATCGTGTATTTTCACTTGTTGCTCAGGAAGAAAAGCAGAAAACTGTTTCAATTGATCAACATTCTTCATCTGTTGCTTTTGTTGCCAAGTCAAATCAAAACACCAGATCTAATAATAACAATTTCAACCAGAACAAGAAATTTAACAATTCACAAAGAGATCGACCATTTTGCACAAATTGCAAAATTCAGGGGCATACTGTGGAAAAGTGTTACAAATTACATGGATATCCACCTGGATACAAATCAAAGGCAAAGTCTACTCACATAAATGCAGTAACTAATGACAACATCAATATTGATGGCACTCCTTCTGTGAATGATGAATTGAGCAACATGTTCAGAGGTTTTTCTCCATCTCAATGTCAACAAGTCATGTCTGCATTATCAAATCACATGATCTCAGTCAATCCGAATGAGAACGCTTCAACTGGTAAGTGTTACTCTTTGACTATAAATAGTGGTTTAAAATCATGTTTGTGGATTCTTGATTCTGGTGCTTCTCAACATGTTTGTCATGATATTAACCTTTTTATTAACAAAAGAAAGGTTTCTCATCACACTGTTACTCTTCCAAACAAGCTTACTCTTCCAGTTAATATGATTGGAGATATCAAGATTGACTACCTTTTTACATTGAGAAATGTTCTTTATGTGCTTGAATTTGATCTCAATTTGATATCAGTCAGTGCACTAACCAAAAGTCAACAGCTCATAGTTCAATTCACATGTCATCATGCTTATATTCAGGATACCATTCACAAGAGGATGATTGGCAAAGCTGATAACATTCAAGATCTTTATGTGATGAGCACTAAAAAGGAAGAGGTTGTTAAACTTGTTGATACAAGGATCAATGTTGTTTCTGTTGATTTGTGACATAAGAGATTAGGACACCCTTCATACAAAGTTCTTATTCCTATTAAGAAATCTTTTAGGTGTTTCTATATCTCAGAATAAATGTAATGATCATTGTTCTGTATGTCCTTTAGCTAAACAGAAACAATTGTCGTTTGAAAGTGTTAACAACATTTGTGATGAAATATTTGATTTGGTTCACTGTGATATTTGGGGTCCATATCAACATTCTACTCACAATGGTCATAGATTTTTTGCAACTATTGTTGATGATAAAAGTCGATATACATGGATTTATTTGTTGAAACATAAATCTGACATTACAGGAATAATACCCAAATTTTATTCCTATGTCAAAACTCAATTCAACAAAAGCATTAAGTCATTCAGGACTGATAATGCAAAAGAATTGGAATTCAAAGAATTTTTTGCAGACAAAGGCATTCTTCATCAAAAAGCATGTGTGGCTAAACCACAACAAAACTCAATGGTTGAAAGAAAACATCAGCATCTTCTGAATGTTGCTCGATCATTATTTTTTCAATCCAAAATTCCAATTCATTTCTGGGGAGATTGTGTTCTTACAGCTGCTTATTTGATAAACAGAATTCCTTCAAAGGTTCTTTCACATCAGACTCCATTTCAAAGTTTATATGGTAGTACTCCTACTTATAAGCATTTACGAAATTTTGGGTGTTTAGCATATGCTTCTACTCTGGCTGCTAATAGATTGAAGTTTCAACCACGAGCCAAAGCATGTTTGTTCTTAGGGTATCCTCCTAACATGAAAGCATACAAGTTATATGATCTTGAAACTAAACAGATTTTTTGTTCTAGGGATGTTGTTTTTCATGAAAACATATACCCTTTTCACAACAATTCTGTTGTTGATCATATTGATCCCTTTGATCACATTGTTCTACCTGTACCATTACCTGACCATGATATTTCCATAAATACCCCTGCACCATTTTTGTCCCACGCTCCTACGAATGCTTTCCTTGAGTTCATCCCGCTTTGGAGAAACCTCCTTCATTCTATCGCGGGGTCACTGAATGAAGTCCTCCGTTTCTTTTGGAGGTGCTGACCCGCAGCGAGGCAGAGATGACTAAGTGACATATGGAATATGGCGATGACAACAGCATGTCGTAGAAGGAGATAACAAGTGGAGCCAACGACCCACTAAGACTAACGTATCTACAACTACATCCCCAAGCGGCAGTCAAACGGGGGCGTGAATGCGAGATGCCAGCGGAATGATCGGCCGGACAGAGGCTAGGGCTCCTTCCTTCCCACCGCGTCCTTCCTTGTGTGTCGGAGATATAAAGCGAGTGCACCGGAAAAGAACGGGAACTGGGTCGATCTATTCTATGTCGAAGCATCCGAAGCATAACTGCACACTCACACGATCTTTGCCGACAGATAGGAGCATTCGGTGGAACCGGTGAACTACACTTGCTTCTGGATAGATGTGTGGGACAGAGGGCTCGTGGTACCTGCTGCCCACCCTTCCTCCTCTGCTTTGAGAACCGTGTGACTCACAAATTCCGCCAAATGAAGTTCCACTTCCATCACATTCAATTCCAGTAACATCTCAACCTATCTCAAAGACCTGTTAGATCACATAATCCTCCTTCTTATCTCAGGGACTATCATTGCAATCTTGTTTCCAAGAATGACACAATCTATTCTTTGCATGATTATTTGTCTTATGACAATTTGTCACATGCACATAGAGTATTTGCAATGAATGTTTCAGCTAATTTTGAACCCAAACTTTATAAAGATGCTTCGAAACATAAAGAATGGTGTGATGCCATGCAAGCTGAACTTGATGCTATGAAAGAAAATAATACTTGGACTATAGTACCCTTACCTCCAAACAAGAACATTGTTGGCTGCAAATGGGTATACAAGATCAAATATGGATCTAATGGTCAAATTGAAAGACACAAGGCTAGACTAGTTGCTAAAGGGTTCAATCAAAAGGAAGGAGTTGATTATTTTGAGACTTATTCTCCAGTTACCAAACTTGTTACAATCAAAGTTTTACTTGCAATTTCAGCAATTAAACAGTGGGACATGGTACAACTAGATGTGAACAATGCATTTTTGAATGGTGATTTACAAGAAGAAGTATTCATGGACATTCCACAAGGTCTTCAAATTCAGGGGGAACCTAAGGGTTCAAAACTTGTATGCAAACTGAATAAATCAATTTATGGACTAAAGCAGGCTTCCAGACAGTGGTTTGACAAATTTTCAAAGTTTCTAAAAGTGTTGGGATTTATTCAGTCAAAGTCTGATTATTCATTCTTTCATAAAAGGCAGTGGTGAAACATATGTGGCATTACTTGTCTATGTTGATGATATTATCATCACTGGACCATATAAGCAAGGGATTGCATTCTTAAAACAACAATTAAGTCATCAGTTCAAACTGAAAGATTTAGGTTCATTGGGATATTTTTTGGGTCTTGAAATAGCAAAATCACAGAAGGGTATTTTTGTCTCTCAAAGAAATTACACTTTGCAATTAATTGAAGATGCGGGTTTTTTGGCTGCAAAGCCAAAATCTACTCCCATGGATCCTAAACTTGACTTAGTTGAACACATGGGAGAATTGTTTGATGACCCATCAAAATATAGAAGGCTTGTGGGCAGATTATTATACTTGAACATAACCAGACCAGATATTTCTTTTGCTGTTCAACGATTATCCCAATTCATGTCAAAGCCTTGTACAAGTTAGTATGAAGCAGCTTGTCATCTTCTGAAATACTTGAAGGTTTCAAGAGGCTTCATGTTTTTACCCAGATTTTGATTGTTCAAATGTTATTTGAAATTTCGATTATGTTTGTACCCTCGTATTAAAATCCATGGCTCTGCCACTGGATATACCACGAATATCACCCACGAGAACCTATCTCTAGCCGCATGAAAAACCGAAAGAGCTATATCTAATCATCACCCAACACAGACCAAAGTTTGTCACTCTACATCACAAGCTATAAACGAATTCCCAACATCCTTGATTTGCACACGGCAACAAGAGCTCATAAGTCACTCCATGTCAATCCCCTGATTAACCAAATTGGTTTTAGTAGGGATCCTATTCTGTAAAATCCTCCAAATCAAAATATTCACTATTTTAGGAATAAACTGATACAATCTACTCTTATCAATCTATGAAGCCAACTAAGGTCTCGTTTGATAATTGTTGACTGAGAAAGTGCTGACTGAGAAATGTCTGTCTGAGTAATAAATTCCGACTGAGTAAGAAACCATTCTGTTTGATTGTACGTCTGATTGAATGTGCTGACTGATACAAAATGATCATTTTACCCTGATGCTCTAGTGATGGATAATAATAATAATAATAATAATAATAATAATAATAATAATAATAAATAATAATAATAATAATAATAATTGATTATAAAAGTTCAGGGTCCAACTAGTAATTTCTAGAAATTAGTTATGCAAGACAATTTAAAGTTGTGGTAGATTCGGTCAAGATGAGTATCTTCAAGGACCAAAACTGCCTAATTCCAATTTTGAGTTGTCTTCTTCCCCTTATCAAATGCAGTCTCTGTTCGTGTTTTTTTTTTGTGCGCCTGTGTTCTAGTTTCTTTTTCCCTTTCTAGGGATTAAATTGATGGTTGAGGAAGGAGGATGAGGGTGGTGCAGGGGCAATGGTGGAATGAATTTCAATCAGATTGAGTCAGCAATTTCTTTGGGTATGAGCGAGTCAGACATTGTTGACCCGGTCAGATGCAAAGCTGAAGCATATCAAACACATAGAGCTGACCGAGTCAGACATTTTTGTCTGACCTGACCCAATCAGATCCAAATCAAACAGGGCCTAAGACTCATCAATTTGATATCTAGTAGCACTAACCAAAAATTCATCATAATTATCCAAATCTTATACCCATTTATCTTACATACTAGTATATTACTAGTTATACTAGTTGTAAGGCCCATGTATTACATAGGTTAATTTAAAAAAAGTTAAATATAAATGCCAAAATATTTGAGAATTTTGAGTTTATAAGGAAATAAGAATAATAATAATTTATTATAATGGAAATATTTTTTTATCTTTAAAATTTAAACAAATAATTTAAATAAAGAAATGAAACTAATGAGCTTTAATTTTAGGAATTTTGAAACTAAAATATTATTTGGATTTTAATAAAATAGAAAAAAACTCATAAAATGACATATGAAAAAAATTAATTCAAAATAACCACAAAATGACATTTGAAAATTTGAATGAGTGTGACAAGTGGCAAAAAAACCTTCATTTATTAGAGATGTTTTTTTATCTTTAAAATTTAAAGAAATAATTTAAATAAAGAAAATAAACTAATTAACTTTAATTTTGGGAATTTTGAAATTAAAAGGTAAGTTTATTACTGAAACTAGGTGTGAGACTCGTGTACTACATGAGTTGATTAAAATAAAAGTTAAATATCAAAGTGTAAATATTAAAACATCAACATTGTCTTTTAACTCAAGATTAATGATACAATCATCATGTCGTACTATGAAAATATAAATTTTAATATAAAAAAACTATACTCATACATAATAATACCAGTGTTTTATTTTAAATATTTATAATAAAATAATTTAGTTTGCTAACAACTTATATTATTTTATTATTCTCAAAAAGATGTTTAAACAAATTTTATTTAGAAAATAAGAAAACAAAGAACAAACAATCTAAGAAAAATATAAAAAATAGTATGTGAGTAGCATAATTTTAAATCCGTATAACATATATAGATACACTAGAAAGTTTTTGAAAAAATGGAATATATGTGAATTTGAATGCCAAATAGTAGCATAATTTTAGGATAATAATATCGAATAAGAAAAATAAATGGAGGCGAGTTGTTGGCATTTGGAGCTTGCATGCTAACTGCTGTTGTATGGTGGAGGTCCTGGAACTCCTGTGCTAACTGCTGCACCTCAATAACTGGTGCAGGTCGGCCTTGAATCGGGCCGAGAAGTCACTCCATGTCATCGCGTCCAACGCGACATCATCTCCAATAGTATGTCCAACCTCCTCCCACCAATCACGTGCTCTGTCCTTCAGAAGACAGGAAGCGAGTCAGACCTTGTCCCCCTCGGGACACCGGATAGAACGGAAGGCGTTGGCGACATCTGCCAACCACCGACTGCTAGCAATGGGGTCCTTAGCCCCATGATAGTTTGGAGCTCTGTGACAACCGTCAAAATTCGATTCGGTTCTAGATTTGACTAAACTTAGTTGCACGTATAGGCACGACACATACTAGACTAAGTAACTAGAAACTAAGTTATAACCTACTAGAAGCTTGGAAACAATTAGAATCAATGGATAGTATACTTAGATTTCACATTGATATGTGAATTCTACAACTACTTAACTGTAGTGAATATCCATATTTAGGTCACTCTTTGACTCGAACACCTTTTCATGAATCATATACACACATCATGCACTTTACCTAGTGGTAGAAATTAGGTCAGAGTCTCATAGAAACTTAAGTCAAAGTTGAAGACTAAGACTAATATACTTGATTCCTCAATTTCGCTTGAATCTCGGAATCACTACATAGAATGCCAATAAACCGATAAAAATAAATTACAAACATTATTTATAACTATAAAAGAGTTATAATACCATAAGATAATTTGAAGTCTCAAATATTCAATTTATTTTGATATTCAAAGTTTATTAAACTCTAAAACCCTAAAAGCCCTAAAACCTAAATTTTATAAAGTTTAACATCAAGAATTTTATAAAATTAGTTATGAAACTTATGCTAAATTCTGGGGTCTATAAATCCTAGTTAAATTCGTGGACGACCCCTATGCTAAATAATGATCCCTCATTAAGTTTCATCGATTTTTGTTACTGTTTAATATGGTTTTGAATTTTCTTTTTGTTTAGCCCCAATAAATCATAAAACCGCTTTAGATAATTTGAAAAGGTTATAATAATTTTCGCAGCTTATACTCTCTGTGGAAGACTTAGAAAAATATTTTCAGAATTTTTCATAATGTATTCCTATTTTTCCCGATTTTTGTGTATATTATGGACTAAAAATAGGAAAAATAGTTCTGCTTATCCAAAATTCATAAAAATTTACCAGAACACCTTGTAGCACATTAGGAGGCTACATAAAAATTTTGATGACTTTTCCCTTCTTTATACTATTTTTCTCCTATTTTCTAAGATTAAATACACTTAAATACACAAAATCGGATTCCAGTAGATAAAAACCACATTTGGGATTTTTCCCAGATTATTTACACTGTACATGAACTTTACAAAATTTTTGTAATTTACTTTAACTGTTTAATAATTATTCTCCAATTAATGATTATTTAAGAG